CAGAGACTGCAGAAGGGGCTGCGGCGCGCGTTGTCGCCGCTGGGGGCCCCTGCGAATCGCATTGTAAGTGCTGCGGGGAGGATGTTAGAGAAGCCTGTCTTTGCGCGACTGGCATAGTGATTTGCAAAGCCATGGTTCTCACTGTCTGCGAATCGCATTGTACATGCTGCGGCGAGGGCGTTCGTGAAGCCTGTCTCTGCGCTCCTGCCATTGTGTTTTGCAAAGCAATGGTTCTCGCTGTATGCTAAGCGCAATCTAAGTGCTGCGGCGAGGGCGTTTGTGAAGGCCGTCTCTGCTCTACTGCCATTGTGATTTACATGGCCAGTGTTGTCACTGCGTTCTCATGCTTGCGGCCTCGTCTCTGTGCGCCACTCCCATTGTGATTTCCACAGCCATTGTGTACCTGAGCCTGTTAAAATCCAGAGCCTCCAAACTTCTCTCTCCGCCTCCTTCTCTCTCTCTCTCGTCCCTCTCATCCTTGTTCATCACATCATCAGACACGTTATCACACACCCACACAGACACGCACGCCATCTTACCACACACACACACACCTCCTTCCTCCCCTCCTTCTCATCCTCGTCCATCACATCATCACTTATACTACACGTCTTAGCACAACCGCCTCATATACCTTCTCTCCTCACACTTCGTTCTTGACTTTTCATCTCACTACTCCGTCTCCCATGTGATGTTCATATACATTTCAAATTTGTAAAACTTATCATGTGGGGTTATCCGGTCCTTTTATATATTATATATAGAGGTTTGCAAGATTTCCCAAGTGGATCTGATGGAACCATTTTCGAGGGGATCTTCCAAGTTGATCAACAGTCGGTCCACCTTTTAATCGATCTGGGTCAGTTGTATTCTTTGGGTCGCAGCCGCGCTGATCCATGTCTTCATTTCGTCTCTGACATGGGTGTCCCGCTGCAGGAAGACCCGTCCCGCTGTCCATTCATCAACAACTCCGAGGTCATCTTGTTTTTTCCAGAAAACTCACGACCATTGTGAATCCGGACCCTTAGAAAGCGCATGTTCATTTTCAACCGAACAAGTTCATTTGATCCTTTTTTTTTGCAAGTTCAAGGCAGACTCTCTGGATGTACATGAGCAGCTCGTAACAGGTTTCATGGAATAGTCCAGTCTTGTGTGGTCATGGAGCAGGAACCCTGACAACTGGGAACATCGGAAACTGACAGTTTTGCTGTGGCAGTTGCGATAGATACAGTATACTGTATTCTCTGCTGCTCACACTGTATGTATATATTATATATATGTATATTATATATATATAGAAAGAACATTATAGAACCACTGGCTGCTCCTTCTGGGAACGCATCCAAGATGGTACACCCTGGCACAGCTTGGCCGAAGAACCAACACAAAGAGTATCGAAAATGGTGCATAGCGACGTGTGAGACAACCCAATCAATGCTGTGCAGTTCGCGGCAGTCCGATGGTCTGCTTGTGGAAGCTTCACTCAGGTCTAGAGCCGCAGGCGCCTTTCCGGCGCAGGGACTGTGGGTGGCCCGGGTGGTTTCAATGGTTCATCATGGTTCATCTAAAGAGGCAAAATGATGCCGGGAGAGTTTCGTTTGGGGGTCCAAACGTCCCTTGGGAGGATCTCATCCATAGTATTGGACTGATATATAGGTGGGGGTCTCCCCATCAGGAAGATTCCAAACCACTCAGAAGTATGTAGGCTTAGTAGGTTGTTGCTCATGTAAAGTGGTTGGTGGGAGGACAACCCACTTGTCACTTGACGCATTTTCAACATGTTTCAAACATCATGTTCATGTTGGAGCCCCTAGTAGCTTCTTGTTACTAGCAGTAAGAATGCTACTAGTACTAGTAATGCCAGGAGCCCCTAGTAGCGTCCTTGCTCCTAGTAGCGATACCAGGAGCCCCTAGTAGCATCTCTCCCCAAAGAACCGGACAGAGACGCAAAAAACCCGAACGAAAAAACCGTCGCACCGATGCGGCCAACTACTCCCGTGCGGCCGTTCGCACCCTCGGGAAAAAGGTGGAGTTGCCTGCGCCTTTGTGGGCGCGGAACGCCCAGTGGAGACGGCTTGAGGAAGTGGGACTTCCGCAGCCCGCCTTTTCCGAAGCTGGGTGGAAGGTAGGGAACTTTTCCAAAGGCATGCTTGGGGAAGATGACTGAAATGGCAGAGATTCAGTCCCATGATAGAGCCAACACAAACTATGGCCATTCTCTTTTAGTATCTTTGAATGTGTCTGAATGCAGCTTCTTGAGCCTGGATGCAATTCATTCAACAGTTGCCAGGCACAAGTACTCCTGTTGCACCTCAAAAGTCACAGGTGATGCCTAAAGTGTTTGGGGCCCACCGTCTTTGGCACTCTAAAGTAGTATCTGAGGTAGATCTGAAACCTAAATTTCCATCCCTAGAGTAATCACCTCTAGAATCTCTAGAGACTCCTGCTTTCCTTGCAGCTTCCATTCCTTCGCGCGTGGAAACGGCCACGTCCACTCCACAGAGGTCGGTGCAGATGTGATCAAGGCCGGGCATCAACGGAGCAACCGCAGCGGAGCCGAAAGATCTGAGGTTTTTGCTTTTCTCCTACAATACTAGGAACAAGAGGATGCTACTAGGAGCAACGGGCATCGCTACTAGGAACAAGAGGACGCTACTAGGAGCAACGAGCATCGCTACTAGGAACAAGAGGACGCTACTAGGAGCAACGGGCATCGCTACTAGGAACAAGAGGACGCTACTAGGAGCAACGGGCATCGCTACTAGGAACAAGAAGCTACTAGGGGCTCCCGGCCTTGCTACTAGTAACGAGAAGCTACTTGGAACAAGGGCATCACTACTAGTAGCAAGGCTATTAGGTTGAAAGCATTGAAAGACCTCACAATAAGCTTCAGCTGACATTGTGCCAAAGTTGAGGTTGCCGATGTGTACAGACCAATCACCGTTGAATAGTAGCAAGGACGCTATTAGGTGGAGGCCATCGCAAGTAGGTTGGAGGCCATCGCTACTAGTACAAATAGAGCTTTCTAGTATGTACCTCAGGGCCTTGTGATCAAGGCTCTAGCAGCGCCGACCTTGGCAAAGCTCGTGTACCAGCCGCCTTCTCAGGCGAGGGCCTGAGGAGAGATGTTTCTAAAGGACCCGTGTTTCTGGGAAAAGAACTGTGTGATGGATTGGTCCCCGAACATGGTAACCATATTTTTTTAGTATACCACTTACCACTGGGTTTGAGGAATTCGCGGAAAACTCTTGCATGACCAGATGAAGTGAAGTTATATAGATACACATATGTTTTTGAACCTTGCTGTTAGCTGTCCAAGGCATGTTAATGTTGTCTTCTGTCAAACCAAAATGCACGGTCAGCCAACAGTCGTTCAAAGTGCGTGCTATGTTACTTTGGTGGGGACAAGATTCGCTGACTTCGACGTTGCTTGGGACATATTCGTTTGAATGTAGACAGACTGCTGCTTTTGTTTGTCGCTGTCACGATGCTTTTCTATCTCTATAGAGGGCTTTCTGTGAGACAGAAAGTTCACTTTCAACTGTGCGGGACTGTAGATTTTTCGGTTCGACACCTCAGTGGTGCCCCCAAAGATGCCAGGCGCCGGGCTTCTTAGGATGGCCGCACCACGGAAACCAGAGGACATCTTCCAAGAGGATACCATGCCACCGGTGCCCATCGAGCTCATTGAACCCAGTGAGCTGCTAGCAGACCAATCGAATGAATCCACGCAGCTCAACGACACACGGCGACATTTGTTTGATCTTTTGGCAAGGCCACCAGGTTCCACAACTCCAGGTGACTTGGGTGGTTGTTACGGCCACACAACTCGTTGTCCAGCTTGGCATGCAGCTTGGCATGCTCGTGCTTGAGCACAAAAAAACATTTTTTTGACATGTTTCGACATGTGCCATGTGTCTGTCGCGAGGAAAAAGCAAGCTCGTGATGCCTCCATTCAGGTGTTTGCGGAGGTGACCATTCTCCGGGTTAAAAAAAGGCACAGAATCAGGGAAACCCCTGATGATCTACCTGTCAACCTGTTCATTCGTCAAAGACCCTCAGATAACTTGTATGCAGCAGCTGTAAGAGCTGTGTCAAATATGTAGAATTATGTAGAGGTCTTCATGGCTGCCTTTCGTTCTTCAGAAAGAGGGATCCAAACCGCCACTTCTGGCATCCATGTGAAACCCAACTTCAAAGTGACTGTGAAGTGACACAAGTTGTTTTTTTTTTTTTGATTTGTTTTGTATATTTTTTTTGAAAATCAATTAGTTCTCTCACAACAATCTCGAACCGGTGAAGAGACCCGAGACCACGAGATCACATGGGTGCGGATGGGCCTCGGCCGGCTCCTGGGCTGGGGGTGGACGCGCCTAAACAGGAAGAGCTGGGACGCGATCCTGTTCTCGTCGCAGCCCGGGCCCTGGCGGGCCCTGGCGGGCCGGGGCCATTTGTGAAAGGAGAAGGGCTAGGCGTTGAAGCAAATGGGGATACTCTAGGCATCCCTAGGCATACGCTTGAAATCATGTCAAGACTGTAAATGAAGACTTTGGGATCTTGGGGTCTCCAAAATTTGTGAGACAGACTCAAGAATTCTTTTTCCTGCTATGTGGGCTTGCAGGTTGCTTGGCCCCTTAATAGAATCCACGAATAGTTTGATTAGTGGTCTGCTGTCATCTACTGACTGAGTCCATTGCATCAGCTTCCCTACAGCCGATGTCAAACCAGAAAATCGAGCTCTGGAAGACCGTGTCCTCACAAATCCGCTTCAGCAGTGACTGTGACGGGAGCTCACATCGAACGTTGGTTGGTTTTCGAAGCTGAGGAAGAGCGTAGCACGCATGCAGTGGAGCCGAGCAAGCCGCCAAAGGCCTGTGTCGAAGTTCAGTTCCAAAAACCTTGGGCCGAGGTAGCTAGTAGAAGCTAGGTAGCTAGTACCTATAATTACAAGTAAGCTACTACTTATTGACGCAGGATAGCTCATGGAAGCTCCCCCCGCGGCGGGGGGGGAGCTTGATGGAAGAAGCGCGCGCACTATTCACTATTCATTTGGTTTCTAGATTTTTAGGGAGCCCTTCACTTAACTTGAGGCGAGAACCTTTTGTCATGCATGGGGGTGATGCAGTGAACTGAAACACGAGCCATTTGACACACGTGCAAAAAGTAGTAATGGATCCTCCTGCATGTTTTCACTACAGAATGGGATGGGTTGACCACTGGAATAAATAATTCTTGAAAAAGGTTGAGGTTTGTCATTTTGTGGAGGGGCAGAATATGCCGATTAGCAGACTTGGGATTCTGTAGACAACTGTGGTCATTCCCATTTAAGGTGGTTTTGAACTCGCCGGTTTGCATCTTGTAGAAAGCTTTGCATTTTGTAGAGAAAACTGTGCAGGAGGATCTGGCAGGGGGATGCAGTTTGCACTCTACCTGACTTGCAAACACTTGCACCTCTACAGAATGTATCATAGACTGTTTCGTGTTCTTCTTGGTCATTTTCTTTCTTTTGCGCTATCTATCCCCTCTTACAATCTACCCATTTTGTAGAGCGTGTCCCTGTCCCCAAGTGCCCTTGCCCGTGGTATTTTGCAGAGGCTTGGTTTTTACACCCTTGTGATTCTGTAGACATTTGGAGGTCAACTTTTGGTGTTATAACAAGGCACAACCTATCCTGGGTAACGATGTTCAAGTCCGATGGTCAAAAGAGTGAGAGTCATGTTATTTCTGCTCTGGAAGTTGATGGATCCATTCATAAGGATTGGCGAGGTACCGCACCCCGGACATGGACATGGATTCCTCTCAAAATGAGAGCCCGAAACCAAGATGCTAGGCAATTACATGCAATTACCCTTATGGGCACTCATGTGGAAAATGGAAAACGATCTCTTGCTTGAGGATCTTGAGGAAGAGGGTTTTGAGATGTTTTGAGAATATATCACTCAATGACCTCGGTCATGTGGGAGAAGGAGACCAACACCTTGGCAGATGGGGATTTCTATGGTGCCATGAGTTCTTGTCGTTTTGATGCGGAGTCGGAAGTGCGTTTGGAAAGAGCTTTCAGGCAACAGGTATGCAAGCTATTAGGTTGGAGGCCATTCCTATTAGGTTGGAGGCCATCGCTATTAGGTTGGACGGCATGGCTATTAGGTTGCCTGGTGTAAGCAGGCTCAGTTCGCCAAGAAGCTGAAGCCAATCTTTGCGCTGAGAGTAGAAGTTCTGCATAAAAACATCCTACCTGGACAATAGATTAAACAACCGTGTTGTATTCTACTATTGAAAGTCCTTTCCTATTGGGCCGGTTGGACCGATTCGAAAGCTCTCAGCCGACTCTTTACACGCGGATTCTTGCATCAAGTATCGATGTGGGTCTTCTCTACTTCGTCGGTTGACGGATTCTTTCCGGACACCAGCAGGATGAGGCCATCCGTGCACACGAGTACCGTGCGGCAGTGCCTGGGCATTATGGGCTAGGTGTGACGAGGAACCCCACCAGGTCCGGGTGGTGAACGTCGTTCATGACCCCCCCTGAAGTGAGAGCGGAGGTGCCCGTCACAACTTGGCTTTGGAAGATCATGTCATGTCCCCGAAGTCGTCCAGAGTCTTTCGCAGTCCCGGCTCATCAAGGTCCTCCAAGGTTCGCAGGTCCGGCAGAATTGGGTGACCCACAAGCTACTTGCCCAGCGGATGAATCACACTTCAATAGACCGAATTACGAACTATGGTTGACCTATTTGACTGGTGACAGGCAAAATATCCTGCACTCTTTCAACCATCTTCATTCAACTATGAAAGCCCAGAACTCTTGGAATTGCAACAAACTTTGTGTCTTCCACTGTGTGATGCATTCATCCAAACATGGGTGCTGCTTTGTAGTTTCACATTGCGACTGACTGAAATGCATGAAGCAAAAAAGCAACGTTACATTTCATCCCATTGTGCGACCATTCATCGTGTCATCCAAAGATAAAACCATGCCAACTCGCTTCAGGGTCTGGGTCAAATCCCGCAGCATTCCCTGGTGTGGACCATTCGAACTTGAGGTCTTCCTGCGGAAGGGGCAGCCTGCTGGGAGTCTCAGCATGGGTAGCCGCATTGCACGAAGACGAAGACCCGATAGATGGTTCCAACCGTCTTGTTTTCCCGATGGTTGGATCCTGAAAAACACATCGTTCCCTAAGAAATAGCAGTAGTAGTAGCAGCAGCAGCAGTTTTTTGTACCCTCTCCACGATTTTGGAAGCCGGAAGATTATATATAATATATATATATATCTGGCCCGCTCTGGTGATTGTTTTCGGTATGGACAATGATAGTTTAGCGGATTAACCACCATTCCAACCAGCCATAGTAGGCCATGGAGAATGTCCAAATAAGCGCCGAGACCAACATTCATGGAGGCATTCTTCTTGCTTCAGTGTCGTGTGAGTCAGCATGAGCCTCATCCTTTGCAATCTGTGCATTTACTGTAAATTGTTTGTAGGCAGGGATGTACAGGCTGAGCTGTCAATTCCCCACACGTTAGGTTTGGACGTTTCTCTACTATACTACATTGTGACCTAAAACATGGTGATTCCCAGCCCAAAATATGTTGTCACTGAGGTTTGTGGCTCGGATTGAGCGCTGAGGAAGCGCTCAAAGATCTCGGATTGATAAGTCATAAGACACATATAAGACATCTATTTTAGACTCAGACACTGGATTATCATGATCAATGCCTTTGCTGCCGTCACGGAGAACTCGCAATAGCTGAGATCCCTCCAGGGTCCTCCAGCGTTACAGGGTTGGGCCTTTGATCCTTTTCGAAGCTGGTTTGATTTGAGAATGTTGCATCTCAAGTTCTGTTGGTTTTCGGAAGGGACTTCGTGGATTCCGAATCTATTTTCATCCAAAGATGGCCGAACTCTTTCGAGTGAAGCAAAGCGAACTCAAAACGAATCCCAGGTGGCCACACTTGCAGAGCTGGAGGCTGCCTTGTGCTTGTCCGAAAAGCGGAGCATCTCGGCCATCTCGGATGAAGATGGTGAGTGAGTTTAACATTGTTTTTACATAGCGAAAGCGGCCAACCCCATTGCCAATACTGTACCCTTTTCATTGAACATTGATACCAGACAAATATCCAGGGCAAGTAAAACTCATCCGGCCAACCGATTTGATTTTGGCTGCAGGATCATACACGTGTGTACAAGCTATATGGCCTACTTTGGACCAAAAGCCGTTTTGCTTAATCACAATCCTCCTCTTCCATTTCCACTGCATGACCCGTTGGACTGTTCTGGGCAACTCTGCCGAGGCCTTATCCCACCGAACGAGATCCGGGAGCGATGGCAGACGCTGGCAGCTTCGGTGCCTTGGGCTTTACCCTTTCGTTAGTAGCGTCCTTGCTACTAGTAGCGATGCCAGGAGCCCCTAGTAGCTTCTTGTTCCTAGTAGCAAG